CATACTTCAAGTGTCCAATGGATGTGTCTCGAAAATCTTGTGTCGTTACTATGAATCGGGTACAATTCGGCCGCGTGCAATCGGTGGCTCAAAGCCTCGTGTGGCCACGCTTAGTGTTTGTGATAAAATCGAGAGCTACAAACGTGAACAACCGTCCATATTCGCGTGGGAGATCCGTGATAAACTACTCAACGAGAAGGTCTGCTCGGCCGACACCATCCCAAGTGTAAGTCTGTCTCTGCTTACAATAGCGATCACTCGTTCACTCCGTATGATCATTTCATAGTCATTACTTCATCTCCGTATGATCATTACTCTTTCTTATTGATGTTATCATTTATCACTTCATAGTCATTGTCTTCATTGGCCTGCCTGCCTATGGTTTTATTTCGAAGAGACTCTGCATTAGCCCAGCTGTTTGCCAGCCGCTTGATTACCGTACGTGCTGATAACTCATGTCAGATTTATCTTTATCCTCTTGCAGTAAATTGATAATTGTGCAGTAAGTATTCAATCATAATATCTTACGCAGAAGTAATATTAGAAGAAGTAAGTAAGTGATCGCTCGCAATTGACTATAGGAAGAAGGAACGGAAGGAAGGAAGGAAATGGATGAGATGAGTTGAGTTGAGTTGAGGTAGACTGCGGGTGGGTAAGTGATTGGGTATTATATTATAGAATGTTACCTCATCTCTATCGTTCAGATCTCATCTCGATCAAGGTGATATATTCGGCTTTATGTGCTACTTTATAGGAAGTGGTTCGTTGACAGATAGATACTTTAGATTAATGGAGGGACATAAGATTAGTCTGCAGTTGGTGAATCACTTGATATTCTTTACAGATGATGCATTAATGGAGTTGTTTTTATGATAATGAAGTAGTGAATGTTGATTAGATTTACGTGCAGTATTGTCACGTCACGTCACGTCACGGTACTAGGTGATGATGATGAATCTAGCTGAAAGTAAGTATTGAAGGATGAGATTGGATATTGGAGTTTACTTAAGGTGTATGCTGAGAATAGAATTCTTAATGCAACTTATGGATATAGGTAAGTAGCATATAAGATGTAAGTGCTTGTTTAAGGTTATGAATCTCTGAGATTTGTTATTTGTGAGAAATGAGCAGAAATTTAGTGGTGATGGTTGTTTGTGGTGGTGGTCGTCTTTTTATTTTTATCCATCCATTTATTTATCCAAGCAAGTATTATAGTTTACTAGAGACCTAGGTTTGCATCTGGATACATGTATCGCTGGCTGTTCATGTAATTATTTATTTATCATATTTATCCTAATGGCAACGAAACACCGGATGCTTGAACTAATGCATTCATATGCACACACACACCGACAAAGTACTGCCGTGCACGATTAGAACAGCGAGAAGATTAGAAGATATAAAGAAAGATATAATAGATGGATGGATAAGATAGATTCCTTCCCTGACTGACTAGCTGCTGGCTGCTGAATAGAATCGAACTGAATCAGATTATCATCATCATCATACACCTCAGCTAACCAACAACCACAACCACCATCATCACGGCCAGCTGAAGTAAATCGTCCGTCCGTCATTAGTATCAATAAGAGGGTGGTTAAACATAGCGGTCGGCTTCTTATTTTGCTTTAAAAAAACAAGATGAAACATTTAAGTGAGGCTGCGGCAGCAGCAGCAGCAGCAGCAGCAGCATTTCATCCGTCTTCTATTGTGCTCATCCGTTTAAAATGTTCCTAAACATCAAGTTTCTAACCAGCAATTCTTACCGTTACTAAACAGTATTAATCGATAGATGTGTCTATGTTCAGGGCTAATATTATTCTTATGGTCATCACCGCAACATCGATGACCATAGCAATAGCTGCTGAACATGTTACTATACGAGGTGATCTGATCATGCATTCATCTGTCCACTTATTATAATTTGTGATTGCGAACAGAAGAGAAATTAAACTTGACTTGAAATGATCTAATCTAAAAGCAAATGAAGAACTGCTATTGAAATGATCGATCGATTACCTCTCAACTAAACAGTTTCTTATCACAAATAACTCCATTCGGCCATATCATTTCTGCGTCGTAAACAAAGCGTGTTCTATCGTCAAAAACACTTTCATTATTATTATTATTATTATTGTTCATATGAATTGAAAATACCGTAATCACGCACCGATCCTCTTTACCATACGATGCATTTGTTTCTGCTGAATCAACCACCGTTGTGTTCATCCATCGATCAACATAATGTCTAATTTGTTGTGAAGTGACTTCAATTAATTCCTATTGACACTTCAAGCGGTCTCATCACCATTCCGTATTTGGAAAAGAATTTTATTATTTTTTCCTTCCTTCCATTATGACTATTATTGTTCATTAGTATAATGCTTATTATTATTATTATAATCGTTATCGTTATTGTTATTATCGTGATTGTTGGAGAATTATTATTAGATGAACAGATGAAATGGGAAGTTGATGAGGTGAGAATAATTTAGGTACAAGTGAATAGTGCAAATACAAGAAAATTATTAATGAACGTTCGAATGAAAATTATTCGATTCGATTATCGTTCCTGTTTGAGTGAATAATGCAAGAGGAGATTGACTTGAGAATATTCGATGAATGCATTCATACGTTACTAATTGATATTATTATCAGCATTGTTTCATTATTTGAGCACAAAGAGACTCTTTATAGGTAACTCTTTCGAATTTTAGTGAACTAGATAGTAGTGGATCATTCGTTGATTAATTCAGAATATTCATTTGTCTGCTGCTGTTATTGGTTGTTTGTGTTCTTGTTGTTCAAACACAGGATGAAGTTGAGGCTGATAAAGTTCTAGAGCTGAGCGGGATGGCATAGGACTGAGGTATAGTCTAGCCGAGCCGATAGTAGGGTAACATGTTGGATAACGGAATGGTTGAATGCTGATCGATCTCGTCAATTCAGGTGTCGTCAATTAACCGTGTTCTCCGAAATCTGGCCGCGAAAAAGGAGCAACAAGCGATGCAGAACGACTTCTACGATCGGGCACTGCGATACTCATCAACGCAATGGTACAATCAGTGGCCAATGAGCATGCCTGGCGCAGTTGGCCTAGCACCATTTCAAGCGTTGACGCAGTCCAATCACCTCGACAAAAAGGATCCTGGTTAGTGCTCTTATAGGACGTGAGTCTGCTGCTTATCAACACTGATCTCATATCTATGATCTCGTGCCATTGTTGTCTCCCTAATATAATTGTTTCTATCTGCGCTTCTCCGTCTAATCTCATCACTATTACAGCAAACGGTAATTAATGTCTTCGTTGGATAAAAAGTTTGAGTTGAGCTTGTGTAATGATAAATTCTCTAATGATAAAAGATTGAACTGGTACCTGGATAACTGGCAGAGAATTTATTTGTATGTTTAGATTTACGAATTTACGTATGGGCGAGGACCGGGGGGGGGG